ACTTCCTCAAAGTGTGTTGAAAGAGGTAGATAGGAAGTGCAGAGAGTACTTATGGGGTGGCTCAGAAAATAAGAAGAAAGTATCTTTAGTTTCTTGGAAAAAAGCATGTTGTCCTAAGAAGCTTGGAGGATTAAATGTCAAAGAATGCAGAATTTGAAACATGGTTGTCGTAAGTAAACTGTTGTGGCAACTTGTAGTCAATAAATATTTACTGTGGGTAAAGTGGGTGCATGGTATATTCTTAAAGAATGGCGAGGACAACTGGAATCACAAAGCACCTGTGGATAGTAGTTGGTACTAGAGGAAGATAAAAGCTTTAGCTGTCAAAATGCAGAATTGGTACATACACGGCAGATACAGACTCACCTCAAAGTGAGATTACTCTATTACTAGGAGTTACATGGAACTAAGGAATGCTCAAACTAAGTTGGTCAATGCTGAATTAATCTGGATTGCTGTGGCATAGCCTAAGCATAGATTTATTATGTGGCTAGTTGTTCACAATAGACTGCTCACTAAAGAAAGATTGGGAAAGCTGAACATACCAGTGGAGGAGGTGGCTTATTGTTTATGCGACTATCACGTTATTGAGACAGCTGATCACTTGTTTAGTGGATGCCTGTGGTTCTAGGAAGTCAAGGAGGGGTGGAGCAATGGACTGGATCACATCTGCAACTAGGAGATTTGAAGACAGTTCTGAAGCGCATAAAAAAGAAGAAATTGAAGCAATTCCAGAGAGCTCTGGTTGCAGCAACTTGGGGGCAATGGTTTATAACACTTGGAAGGCTAGGAACTGGATGTTGTTCAAAGGAACACATGTACATGCGGCAGAAATAGTTATACAGATAAAAAGAGAGATTTTGGCTAGAATAGACATAATTAGTTCATCTAATAAAGCTCATAAGTGTAGGAACTTAGTACACCAGTTGCAAATGTAATTAGTTCTCTTTGTTTTTGCCTGTTGGAGGCTTGATCTTTGTATGTTTGTGAGATCAGGTGCTCTTTAAGTGTAAGGATTTGTTAATGGTAATATTTACACGGTTACCAAAAAAAAGATAATTTTTGGAATAAAAATAGTAACTTTTGGTATTCACCCCTAAACATTACGTGTGAATATGTTTCTTATCTCCTTTATATATGTCACAACCCAATTCCATTATAGGCCGTGTTGGCGCCCAACACCGTTGTTAGGCAAGCCAACACTGATCAACTAGTGATTTCCAGTTTTAGATAAATTTGTAAACAGTGGCTTTTTCCTTATTAAAAAAAGACTTAGGAGTTTGCAACTTTAACATAAATAAATAGAAGCAATCAGTACGAATTGTAATCAAGTGAACAAACCAAAATCATAAGTCTACTAATGTGTGTGCCAAGAGCTGGTGTCACAAGTATGTGGGCAATCTAGTAGAATATACAAAACAAGTGCTAGCCTACTGTCTGAAAGGAAATAGACAGAAAATAAAGCATAAGAGAGACTCCAGCTGCTGCAGGACGGCTCAAAAGGGCAGCTCACCGGGAAGTCTCAAGCTGGGGAATCAATCTACGCGTCAGACTGGTGGCCACATACACCTGCCTCAAATCCTGTACAATAAAGTACAGAAGTGTAGCGTGAGTACATAAAAATATGTACCCAATAAGTATCTCATCTAACCTCGAAGAAGTAGAGACGAGGGGTCGACTCCGACACTTACTAGGGCCAACAATATAATAATATGAAGTTCCAAATTTAAATCATAATGTATGTAGATATCAATAAGCTCAGAACAAGAATAATAACTGAAAAATTCTTCCATTATATTTAAGAGGCACTTTCTTCATTTAAAACAAGTGACCTTTCAAGCAGCAAATTATACAAATTATAAAGAGCTCCAGTTCTGTTATCACACACAAATAACATCGAGGACGTTCGGCCTGATCCAACATAAATATAAATTGTGCACTGCCAAGGGTCGAACGGCGCGAACCATAGATGCATCTATTCACCCCGCTCGCTAATCATACATGCGACGTCAAATATAAATTTAAGAAATTACTCCGCCCGCGGATCATGCGTGCGACACGGTCAAATATAATTTTATCATTTAAATCATAACTCTTTCTAGATTCTTTTAGAAATGAAGACAATTCAACTTGAAGACTTTAAATCCTTAGAAATCCTCAACTTAATTCCTTTTGTTACAATTAGCACGTATAATCAAATAGGGTGTCCACAAAGCATGGTGTAAACCTAAAACTACCCAGACATAACAGAAATAGTAGCTACGTACGGACTCTTGTCACTTCGTGCGTACGTAGCCCCTCACAAATAATCACATATTAATTAAGTTCACCAATGGGAAAATTTCCCTCTTACAAGGTTAGAAAAGAGATTTACCTCACCTCAAAGCCTACTTCCAAATTCAAGAATGCGCTCAAACCCTCAAATTGGAGCCGAACAATCCAAAACTATTCAAATAGTGTAAAAACCAATCATTATAAGTTCAAAAGTTCATATTCTAACTATTAAAATGATTACCCAACCCCAAAGGCAAGATTCCTAAAATTCATCCCCGAGCTCACGTGCCCGGATTTCGAAAATTTTCGAAGGAAATTGTTACCCATAACCTTAGGAACATAAATATATGATTTCACTAAGTTCCATAACCATTTTCGTGGTAAAACTCCATTTTTATCAAAACCCTAGGTTTTTCCTCTAAACTCATGATTTTCACTAATTTTTACATGTTAATCTACCCATAATCTAAGTATTTAACTCGCATATGGTAGAAATTACTTACCTCCAAAAGCTAGGTGAAAATCCCTCTCAAGAAGCTCCAAGAATCGCCCAAGGAGAGTGAAATGTGTAAAAATTGGGTTAGGTCCCATATTAAATGAACCTCACTGCCTCCAGCTTTTCCGCACCTGCGGTCAGTGGGCCGCATCTGCGCCCTCGCTTCGGAAAAGTATTCGCTACTGCGGAAATGGGCTGGGTTGGCTGGCGTCGCACCTGCGGTAAGAGGGCCGCATCTGCAGTCTCGCTTCTGCGAAAGGAGGGCCACACCTGCGAAGCCTGGCCTGCCCCTCCTGGACCGCTTCTGCGCATCTTGGCTCGCACCTGCGGTTGACCAACCGCAGGTGCGGTTATGACAGATCTGGTGCACTCATCTGTGGTTCCAAATTCTCAACTTGGTCCGAGCCTCGTTCGATTGGCACTCGGGGCCCCTAGGGCCCCGCCCGAACATATCAATAAGTTTGGAATCATAAAACGGACTCGCTCGAACTCTCGGAATGCCCGAAACAACATTAAAACTATGAATCAAACTTAAGAACTTCAAGTCCTTCAATTTACTTCCAATGCGCCGAAACGTACTTATACTACTCGGAATGACACCAAAATTTGCGTGCAAGTCTAAATGACATTACAGAACTATTCCCGGTCTCGGAATTCCATTTGGACCTCGATATCACAAAAACCCGCTCCAAACTAAACTTAAAGAACTTCAGAATCCTTCAAGAACCAACTTTCACTATTGGGCGCCAAAATGCACTCGGGTCATCCAAACTCGATCCGAACATACGCCCGAGTCCGAAATCATTATACGAACCTATTGAAACTGTCAAATCCCGATTCCGAGGTTATTTACTCAAAATGTTGACCAAAGTCAAACTTGCCCTTTTAAGCGAACCTTAATGAACCAAGTGTTCTGATTTTAGCCCAAACTCTTTCAAATCTCGAACCAACCATCCCCGCAAGTCATAAATCAGTAAAAGCAAGTACGGGAAGTCTTATTCACGGAAACGGGGTTCTATAAGGCAAAACGACCGGTCAGATCGTTACAATATACTATTATTATTATTATCACAGGACCCACATTACTTTTATTACTTTCTCTTCAAATTGGATTTTACTAAATCTTTTATATTTCTTTTAGCCTCTCCAGAATTTCAAGTCCACTATCTCATAGAACATTCTGTCAAAACGATAGCAGAAAGCAATTGCAAACTCTTATTTTTGTCAATGGCATAGCACCAAAAATATTGAAGCATCAAATGTAATATCAAGTTATCTATGTTTGTTAAACCAGGTTCAATTGTTATGTATTTTTTTTTATTATTTTGCATCTAAAATTTATGATTTTTTTTATATCTTTTGTTTGTAAGTATATGTATTATCTTTTAATTTATTTATTAGAATTTTAATATGTCAACAAGAAAATATGAATCGCATATTAAAAATGCCAAGAAAAGAGAGAAGAATTGAAACTTTAATACAATCCCAAACAGAGGAAGAATTTATGGTAGATGAACAAATTACTAATATAATTAAGCTAGAAGATAATGGAATCCAAGAAGAAGAAGAAGTTGGTGAAAGTCTAACATAGATCTTTTAGAAAATCAGGAAATCCTAAAAGAAATGAACAATAATCCTAGAAAGTAGAAACATATATAATCCTAGTAAAGAAATCGATTATAAATAAAATATTAATAATTTTATATCTCAAAAAGTGGTGGATGCAGGGTGTTACCACCGGGTTCAATTGAATCCATAACTTTCGATGCGGAGTAAAACTTTATATGTAAAATTCATTAAAATTGAAAAAATATTAAATATAAACCCATAACTTTAAAAATATATAATGGGTTGAAAAATGAACTTCAAATAAAATTTTATTAAATAAATTCTTTTAATGTAGGAAAACTTAGTGGCCCTCGTTGAAGTTTGGCTCCGCCCCTGATGTCGGCTTATTTGCGCATATATTGTTGTTTTACGAATGATCTGTTCACATGTAGGAAACCTTTTTTTTTTTTTTTGTGAAGCGGTGTCGAAAAAAGATACTGTATTCCTTTCTAAAGAGGGTCTCCTCTACGCACAACAATACCGTCAACAGAGATTCAAGTAGGTGCACACAAATTTTTACGTATAAGCTGAACATTTGACTTCACAGTTTCACATGAGACTAGTAACAGAATATGATGAATGGATGGCACTGACCAAAACCATACGTGTGGAGCATCCACAATAATGAAATAGTTGTATTACCAGAGCAAAAGCTCATCAATAAGAGAAGCTACAAGATTAAGTTCATGAGCACAGATTTGAACAACTGATGGCAAAATTAGGATCCCTGATATTTTAGGATTATACAGGACCTGAATCAGATGCTCACCCTGCTACTAAAAACATCTGCAGTTATGATTAATGAAGGTGAACAAACTGGAGCAAAACTGATTGATACCAATCATTGCCTAAACGTTGAAGTTCAAAAGAGAGTGCAAAACTTTAACTTGGTCTGGTCCCCAAAATGACAACCAACTCTTGCACAGCAAACTTGAAGCTGAACACTTGCAATCCACAGTTTCAGCTGATACAGCAACTATATATAATGAGTGAATTCCACAGGCAAAAATCATACATGAGACGCATCCGCAACTTGGCAATAGTAATTCTACAAGAGCAGAAGCTCATGAGCAGGAAGTTACAATATTTAAATTCATGAGAACACATTTGAACAATTGAGGGGGAAAATTAGGAAAGACTAAAGATGTGCTTCTCAGCTTCTGCCAAAACTACAAGGAAGAGCTACATTTTCTGCCACTATGTTGTTTCTCTTCGTCCAGACATTTATTTCAGGGGTGATTGAATATGACTCTTTAAAAGTAGTAAGGCTCAACCTTAGCAGCCTCCTTGACTTTGTGCCTTTGCTCTAGCAGAATGAAAATCCATACCAGGCTTCCTTTCTTTTTAAGAATTCAAGCATCAGATCCCTTTGTTTGCTGGCCAGTTCTTAAGCATTCACCGAGTATTACCAAGTACATCAGACTCTTCTCCAAGCCAAAAGAAGTGTGATCTCAATCAGGTCCTTTATAACCTCTTCCAGCCAAGCCAGTTGGAGCGGTGCTGATCGAGTCAGACGATCCCCAACTGCAATTCTAGGACTTCGCAAAACCTAAATCAGATGCTCCCCTGCTACTGGAAAATCTACGCTAATGAGCTAAAGCAAACATCAGAAGGAAACCAGCTACAAGCAAAGGCGGGTTCGCTGCTCTTCTCTTTCCTCACCGCTTAGTGTTGAGGGATTGGTGCCCCTTTCTGCTAAGCATCTCTTGTAAGGAACAAAGCCCTTAACGCGCTTGGTGGAACTTGCTCTTCGCACCAAGCTAGGGGTTTCGCTAGGTCTAGAGGATAATTCTTCCCTCGCCTTCTCTAGTGGATGTTGGCTACTCTGAGCTTCGATATCCATATTTTTATCTCCACCCATTTCCGCACTCACTGGTTCAGTGTTAGAGCCAGTGGAAGATCCTTCTTTCTGATTTTGTTTATCTTCCAGATCATTGTCATTGAAGAATGGACGCCCCTTTATTGGAATTGGATTAAGCACTTGAATGCAAGGAAATGAAACAGATGCACATGATGATCCGCATGGCAAAAGAGTGGCAGAAGCACATCCAGTAGGCCATTGGTTTTCATTTTGTGATGGCGAGTAATAAAATGGTGGTGAGGTTCCCATAGTTAAGGTACTTGACCCACAATCTGAACCAGAAGCAGTAAATTTCATTGGCATTAAGTTCCAAGACGCTGTTGGCAATGCTGCTTCATCATTCACTTTTGTCTCTATTTTGCACGTGCCAGAAGTTGGACGGGGTCTCTGAGATTCAGTGACTAGCACAGTTTTACCAAATAGCTTCAGACGTGGAGTAGAAGACGTCTCAGCTGAGCCTTCTTTAACAAAATTAACTTCTTGGGGAAGCAACTCTAGTTTCTGAAATACGAACCAAACAGGAAATTATAAGTGATTTCAAATGAAAAATTTCTAGCAGCATCATGGAAACAAAAAAGAAGCAGTAGCAAAGGCAGTCGTACCATGCAAGCTTGGTTTTCTGGATTTGTACTAGCATTTGCTTGGGCAAGCGAAGAGCTATCTTGTAGGATGAAATTGGGCGGTTCAGAAAGTACAAAACCATCAGATTTTCCACCACCAGCTGGTGAAACAGGTGATGCGCTACCACTGCGCTTACTTGAATCCGCCGTGCCAAGTGCATCCGAACCATGTGCAGACAACACAGAAGTAGGAGATTGGTTCTCTTGTTCAGACATAGACATATTAGGTGAGATCGACCTTGTCGATTTCTCAGGAACTAGGGTTCCACTTTTAACTGGAGTAGCCAATTTGCGTGGATAAGGGTGCATCGGTTTTCTTTTAGGTCGAGGAGGAGGGATCTCTATGGGTTTCACAGAGCTTGCATCACCATTATTAGATTCACGAACAACCTGACCACCATAAACAGATTGGAAATCAACAAAAGCATTCACATAACAAATTAACCCTTAACGATGACTACACGCCTTAGAGTCATAAAAGAATATGACTTACATCAAAAGGCGGCATATAGATATAATGGGGGTATATAAGAGCAGTAAACCTTGGAGAAAAACTTCTGAGCATGGCTCCTTATTTGTACTGCAGTTTTTGTGCCCACATGCTCTGAAAATTAATCAAGACCATTGTAAATATGCAATGACAACCAAAAGATGCCTCTAACAAGCCATTAATCTTTTCTGTTTCTACCTTGTATACGCCTCCATGCCCTACCATACAGCTTTATAGCCTCAAGGAACTTTTTGTGCTCTTCTTCTGTCCACCGTTCCCTTTGCTTTGAGATGGTGTATGGTTTCCTGGCCTATTTTAAGCCAAAAAGAACGATGGACAAGACACAGATATGAGCTTGGTATGGAAAAAGTAGTTGACACAGAGAATGTGGAAAACAATAAACCTTGGGAGCAAATTCATCTGCAGAAGCAACCTGCTCTTTCAGCTGGATGCTCCTTGTTGATGATTCTCCCACATCTGATGAAATTCCGTTCCTGCTGGAACGGATCGAGTCCACCCCGCTTTCTCCACTTTGATCCTAAAATGACGAAGAGAGAAAGATGAAGCTTCTCCAAAAAGAACTCCAAATACTTCAATCCATTGTAATTTAAAGAGGACCATGTCTACTAGCTATATTGTGATATTCCCAAGTTTGCCAAAGTTTAAAGTCAAATTACATCACATGTTGCAGTGTATTTGCTTACACTCAAGATGTATTATAAGTTGAATGCAGAAGAACAGGACAAAATAAGAACATTCAGTGTTGTCTAGCAAATGAACAATCCATTCATCAGCAGCAACAAAATGAAACATTTGTATACGGCTGCTTAATATTGAAACTAACATATAGAACTGACAATCTTCCCTCCCATCTTGATGTTTAACTTTCTTAATACAAACATATAGCCACTAGCTTAAATTCATTTAATACAAACACATGAACAACAGAATAACAAGTGACAACTATTAAAACCTGCAAATTTCTTCTCCTATTTTCTCTATTTCAACAATCAACATCAATGTCAAGCTCGCCGTTGATCAGTCTGAACTGGCCGAAACACAATGCATATTATTATACTACTGGACTAACACTCTTAAGCCCGTACACAACTTTGGTATCAAAATCATAGTTCATCCACTATAGATTAGTTAGGCACTACAGTTAAAACAAACTGCAGTACAAACCCCCACCCAAAAAAAAAAAGAAATAAAGCAACAGCAACATATTCCACCGAAGACAACTCTGAATTAAAAATGTTTAATACTACCTAATCAAATTCATCACAGTAGTATTCTCTCTTTCTGCAAAACATTCAACTATCAAAATTTCACCAACTCTTCATCTATTAGAAAATTCAAAATCCATCAACCCATTATACTTTTAAATGAAACCCAACTCTAAAATTAGTACTTACTAAGAAGCAAAGAACATCTATTTTAACCATAAAGGAAACAGAGAATCACACAAGATACCATCTGAAAATTACTATAACATTAAAAAGATTGTCACACCTGATCAGCCATTTCTGCAGATGCCATCAATTTTATCTGAAGATGCTAAAACTCCTCCACAGCCAAAATCACCAACAACTGCTAAAATCTTAAGCACCAAAATATCCTGGAAAAATCTATCCTCACACTTCCCCAAAATAGAAATAGATAAAGAAAAAGCCCCACTTTTTACTGTTTAGCCAATCAATTCTCTTGAGTTTCAGATCCCAAAAATATCAATAGTCACTCTCACTGATTCACAGTAAGTCATTCAATACTTCTCTAACTCTGTTCACACACAGCAGAGTCACCACTACGAGGCATTAACTTTCCCCATTGAAGATCAAACCAACATAAACTCAGAGAAAACCCAAGAACCAGAAAATTCTACTACTAATAAATACTGCTTCAAATTCAGAGAAATATTGGTCTCATCAATAGCAAAGAACACCCTCAATAATGAATAAAGTTGGAGACTTTAATAAAAGGGTCTGCTTATAAACAGCATGGGGAGTGAAAATAATAATCTTTTTAAACCAATAACACCTCAAAGTCTCGATCTCGCAAGCTGGTAGGCTCAAAAACAAAGTGCGCTGACACAAAATAGAAACTTCCCCAGAAAAGAACACAATATCAACTACAGTTTACAGAACAGAAGTATACTGAGTGTAAAGATGAAGAGGAGGAAGAAGGAGAAGCGACAAAGGCAAAGAATGAAACAAATATTTTTGGGTTAAAAGAGAGAAGGAGGAGAAGAAAAAGGAGGAGGGAGGGGGTGCCACGACAGAGGGTATAAATGGAATTCCACATTTGTGTTTTAAGAAGCTCGAGAGTTTAATGGAATCTTGTGGCTCAAGTTCAAAGACACCCCCGACACGTGGCTCTGCTTCTTTTTCTTTTTTTTTTTGAATTTTCGAAATCCTTTAAGATTATTTAAAAAACAAAAAGAAGAAATTTAATTCTATGTTTCGAGTTTGACTCGCGAGTTGACAGTTGGAAAAAAGTACTCGCTTTTTGGCGTCCTCCACGTTTCGATTTGTTTGTGGATGACTATTTTTTATGTGTTCCTATGTGGGGCCTTGTTTTGACACCTTCCTCACTTGTCCACTTTTTGGCCCCTTATTTTTTTCTAAGATAATTTTTGGATTTATTTTTATTGGGAAGCATTTATTAAATTACCTTATAAATATTCTTTTGCAATGGAAAATTTTAGTACAGTAGTACAAAAGTGAGGGTATCTATCATCATCCTTAGATATCAATGTTATCCCAATTGCTTGTAAAGTGTCTTATCAATAAATTCATGAAAACACAATTGTTCTTATCTTAATGAATTCTTTGATTAAGGTAGCAAAACTGGTAAAATTAATTTTCTAGCAGTATTTGCTTGTGTTAAGGTAGCTGATGTGGATGATTGAAGATTACAAAACTTGCATAATTAAGATGTATGTGTATGGGTCAAAATCGAACTAGAGAAATTCGATACGCGGAGACGATTATCATGAGTGACCTGCAAATCAATATGGGCAGTTTGGCCGAGGTCGATCAGTGGTCAATAGAAATAGCCACTGAGTGTGGTTTATTAAGGCCGAGGTCGAGCAGCATGGACAGAAATAACATCCAGTATAGCTTTGGAACCAACAAAGGGAATATTATGTTGAATATTCCCTCAGTTTGTACCTTTTAGGGTTATTTGGGAATACTCCACATAAATAAGAGGAGAGATAAGGCGACATGCATGTAATATTCCATTTGATAAGAATACTTTTGAAAAGCAAGCTCTCTAGATAAATACAAAGAACAACTTTCTGAAGTGATTCGATCTTTTTAAAATTATCCATTGTCATTTCCACCAGATCCGAGAAAGTGCCCAATATTCTCTTACATTCTTGTCATTCGTAATTGTCAGAAGAAGGTATCATTCACCCCGTTCAATATTGGCGAATCTTCCTCCTTATTTATATTTAGTGCCATTTATTGTATTTATTGCTTATCTTTATCATCATTCCATTAGTAACCATAACATTTAATGTGTTAAACCCATTTTAACATGGTTCTCAATTATTCGCATAAACCTGTTTTAGATCCAAGGTTATTATCTTTAACTAGGATTAACCCCTTAACTTTTTACTTAATTAGAGCCTGTTTGGCCAAGCTTCTAGGAGGCTAAAAGTACTTTTTGAAAAATTTAAGGTGTTTGGACAAAATGAAAAAGCACTTCTTAGCAATAGAAAACTGCTTCTGAGGAGAAGCTACAAATTGTAGCTTCCAAAAAGCAGAAAGTTAATTTATTCAAGACAAAAATAACCTTACAATAAATTTATATTTTTCAAATTATCTCTCATTAATTTAAGTTTTCTTTTTCTTTTCCTTTTCCATTTTTTTCCTGCTATACATTTATTCTATTTTTTTTAATCAATTTTTTATTCTCTTTCTCCTATTCTTAAGAGTAGATTTTAAATATATATTGAATGATGTATTTTGACATATTTAAATTATCATGTAAATAATAAGTAATACGAAACACTCAATATTGTTGCATTGGAATAATTAATTTTATATTAATTAGAATTCTTAATTTATATTTGTACTTTACGTTTTATATTTTAATTGAATTCTTTTCTAATAAATGTTTAAATTTATTTTTGTTTTCTAAATAATACTAATCGCAAATTGAACTTTTACTGTCCTTTTTTGTAACTTGATATTTAAAAGTGCTTTTTTAAAAGATTGGCCAAACACGATGAGCTTGCAAAAAGCACTATTCAAACAAATCGGCCAAACACAAACTACTTATTTTGCAAAAGTACTTTTTCATAAAGCACTTTTGAATAAAAGCGTTTTTCAAAATAAGTAGTTTTTGACAGCTTGGCCAAACGGGCTCTTAATTTAACAAAAAGTTTTATATTTTTGGTCAAACAATAAGATAGTTAGATTTACCTATTTCTATGTGAGGAATAATATTTAATATAATATAATATAAGTTTTCTTTGTATGTATATATAAATGGGATAAGACATACAAACTTTTTATTTCATAATTATAAGAATGAGTAATAGCAATAATCTACAATAACATCATAAAAACTAGATTTTCCAACAGTATATTTACTTATCATGGAGGAGATTAATTTTCTATTTTAGAACCTTAAATATTTATAATTCATTTATAATATTACAACTTGTTATAGTACAGTTATAGGAAGGGAAGATGTTAACTTCATAGGACCAGTAGAAAACCTTCCACACCCCAAGAAAATACACAAAAAATATCCAGTTAAATAACAAATAGTATTTGTAATTTATTCTTTTTCCAAAAAATAGTGATACTCGTATTTAGGAAGAGAACTGCTAAAATATCTACGGCCTCTAAAATAAGTGGACAATAACTAAAAAAGAGAGGGGAATAGGGAAAGCCAATAGTTGTGGATAATGTAGATAAAAGAAATACAAAAAAAAAAAAAAAAAAAAAAAGGGAAGAAGAAGTGTGGTGTATATTGTTTTTTGTGTGGAGGGGGGTGGGAAACGAAGATGAGATGTCTGATGAGTTGTAGCCTGTAGGGAGTATTACAATACTCTATTCATATCAGTTGATGGACTTTGTCTTACACTTTTTCTCCATGTCACAACCACTCACCACCCGTCATTTATCCACGTCACCCATTTATTTATTTCATTGAATTAAATTTTGGCAAAATACCTTAAAACACCTCTAAACTTGACATGGATTATTAGCTGCACCCTTAAACTATTCGTGGTCTTAGTTACCCCCCTCAACTTGGTCTTTTGAGAGCCATTACCCTCCTGGACGCCGATGTGGCAAAGAGTGAGGGTGCACTCGCCTGCCACGTGGATTTTTTCTGTATATGTGACATTATTTTGAAAAATAAAATATATTTTTACCTTTTTAATTACGTTACTTCTTTAGATAATTTTTTTTGCGAATACAATTTATGATAAAACTTGGATAGAACTACATTATTTAGGCTAAATTTTTTTATTTGGCTAAAAATAATACAGTTTAGTTAATCTTTTTTTTTAATTTGACCTGAAAGTAAAGACTTATACAATTGAAATAAATAGTCAAGGCATCTAAAAAGTTATAAAAAATGCGTAGTTTAAAATTAATTATTTTGGTTATAATTTTTTATATAGCTCTAAATTATGGTGCTCTAAAAATATTTTTTTCACAGATTTTACTTGAAAAAGTAAAAATACACAATTAAAATAAATAGTTATTGCATCAAAAGAAGAAATAAAAAGAGTACACTCTTTTTATAGTTGAAGAAATAAAAATACATAGTTGAAGAAATTGTACACTCTTCAAGTGTGTAAAATACACAGTTGAAGAGTACACTCCTTTTATTTCTTCTTTTGATGCAATGACTATTGATTGCAACTGTGTATTTTTACTTTTTCAGGTAAAATCTGTAAAAAAAATATATATTTTTAGAGCACCATAATTTAGAGCTACATAAAAATTGTAGCCAAAATAATTATTTTCAAACTATGTATTTTTTATAACTTTTTAGATGCCTTGACTAATTATTTCAATTGCATAAATCTTTATTTTCAGGTCAAATTCAAAAAATGGTTAACTAAAAATTTATTATTTTTAACCAAATAATTTTTTTTAGCCTAAATAATGTAGTTCTATCCAGTTTTATCATAAATTGTATTCGAAAAAACTATCTAAAGAAGTAACATACTTAAAATGGTAAAAATATATTTTTTTTTCAAAAAATGCCACATCTACAGGAAAAATTCACGCGTCGGGCGAGTGCACCCGCACTCTTTGCCACATCAGCGTCCAGGGGGTTAATGGCTCTCAAAAGGCCAAGTTAAGCGGGGTACTTAAGACTACAAATAATTTAATATTATAACTAGTAATTTATGTCAAGTTTACGGAGGTTTTAAGGTATTTTGCCTATTTTTGGTGCAACAAAGTTAAAGCCACATAGAGAGATACAAAATATATTAGATAAGGATATCTAAATTAGCAGTTTAACGTATATGACATTAGGGTTGTGTTGATGTTTGTATCTTCTTTGTGATCATGATAAAAATCATAACTAATATTTTAATAAATATAAAAAGTTAAATCAAGGAGATTTACTACTAAAGCTAGATTCATTAGTGTATAAATGTAGCAAATATTAATCTAAAACGGGTATTTCATACTAGTATTAATATTATAAAAAGGATAAAATATAAATCTAATCGCTCAAGTATGATGTGTCGCACTTAATGTTTAAACTAAATAAAAAAATATAGGATTTTTGTTTACCTTGAAAATGGTAATTACAATTAGATTTGATTTTGTGGTTCTAAAAATACTTGATCTATTTTTATGCTAGTTGTTTAGGCAATAGATGCTAAGTGAAATATTTGGAAGCAAGATAAGAGCTAGAGAGCAAGGTGATAACCAGACCGACTATTTAATAATCGGGGCCTCGAGCTTGCCTGTTCGGGGCCTCGGGGTCGAGTTCGATGACTTGCCGAGGGTAGTCGGTGGAAGACTAACAGTTATAATAAAATCAATGACGTCTCTTTATGGCCAATAATAAGCAATAAATGAAGAATAATGGATAGAACACAATGAATATAAGCAATAAATGGAAGTAATGAGATCCAGAGAATGTGTTAGAGAGCAGAGAGAATGTTCTTGTGTATTTAGTATTGAATATCAGATGTCTACAAAATAACAAGGATCCCCTTTATATATGAGGGGGAATCCCAAGATAGT